CACCAAGGATTACCACTAAGGAAAGCTTGGACCATTGCGTCGTCCATTCCATTGCAGCGGCTGGCAGCGCACAAGTGTGATCGCAGTCATGTTCATGGCGAGTCTAGAGGCCAGGACCTTAAGGACAGTGAGAACTATTCACATGCCATGACTGATTGCATCCACATTGATTGGAAAAGCTTTTGCGATAGGCGTTCTAATTATGCGGCATGTGCACAACAACAACTTTCGTGTAGCCACAAACACGTTTGCACTCGCAAAACTGAACAAACTAACGCATTAGCTGCCTGCTGCATTCTCGCGGCAGAGTTCTGCGCGCCGGACATGGAAGCCACCAACGCTGGAATCGTTGCACCGACGGAGGTCCTGCGCCAGTGGTGGGATCGGCGGTTATGGGAGACTTCATTGTCTTCCGAATACCGCACCATGGCGCCTTTCCAGGAGGATGAAGCCAGCGTGAACAACTTCTACAAGTATTTGCCGCGGCCACTGGCATGCGAATATGCCCTCAGTGACGTCAGGGAGGCTGGTTTGGTGGCCAAAATCGGAAAGCTCACCGATCAAGGCTTGGCCATGCTCCAGCCCGAGTCTACTCGAGGCCGTTTGCGCTACCTTGTCATCGTCGCAGACTCTACAACTACGTTCCTCACTGAAGGAAATTGGAAGACAGATCTGCTGGCAGACATCAAGGCCAACCGCGGCAATGCCTTCCCACATCATCTTGGCGTTGAGTACATTCCTACATGGGGTGCGAATCTCACGCGGCTCGTTGAGCTCGCCGTGGGAAAAATCACCCAACTGGAGCGTGAAACTGGCGCCAGTGGTCAGGTGAGCATTGACCTCATGATGATCTGGAACGGGAACGAGTTCGTCGGCGAAAGAGGTCTGTTTTTGGACCCAGGCTTCAAGAGCAAGACGGAGTGGCTTCGTGGTTACCCGCACATGGCAAAGGGGAGCTGGGAGTTCATTGGACCAAAGGTTCTCCGGGAGATAGGCAAGTTGGCGGATCTACAGTCACGGGCGTCAGTGGGTACTGTGCTGCTCACGTCTGCGACCGACGCTGCCAGCTACTACCTCCCGCGCGATTGGGGTACCATCATGGCGGATTTGCTCGACTACGCCGCCCAACTTGGGCTGGCCGTCAAGCATTTCAATACGCCTGCGAGCCAGATCCGCAAATTCGACCATTTTCACTTCCAGGAGGACAGCGCCTATCGTTTGCAGCTGTTGAGGTGGTTGGGTTTTACCGCCAGGATTATGGTCCTTCGTCACCAATGCTCCTTTTTCAAGGAAGCCGACATCGACTTGGTCCTGCAGAACTACGGCCACGTCTCAAAGCCTAACGTCAAGTTCGCTGTGGACGTGCAGGTGGAGGAGAAGCTCCTGAACCACTTCCGTAGAGGAAGAGTAGAGCCCACACATCAGCCGCTTGTCGAGGCTGACCCGTGGGACGACATCTACTTCCAAGGACCCCAGGAGCAGTTCCCCGACACCGCGCCGAACCACTTTGTCCACCGGGACTTCAAGGACCACGTTCACCTGGGAGATGGGGAATATGTTACCCGCGAGGACTACGACGAGATGATCAAGAAGAGCGAGGAAAATGCCCCCCGTCCAGGGGAGGCCGTCGCTGTTCCGTCATCGTCGTCAACGGCGCGGGAGACTAAGGAGAAGCTTTTGGCCAGGGGGGAGGTCTACAGTCGTCAGCGGACCGACCCTGAGTCCAGTGCGCCCAAGCGGGCAAAGAAGGGCCCACGCGAGGCTGCCTACGACGAGCCCATCAAGTCCGGCTACTACACAACCGATGACGATTGGTGCCTCGTCGACATGTTGGGCCTCGACTGGGACACAATCCATTTATGCCCACCGGAAGGTGAGGCCGAGTGGATTGACATCCTTCAGGACGAGATGCCGAACTTCAAGTATATCCACATTCCCCAGCATCACAAGACTGCCTTGTCCGGTATTGTCCGCGGCAAGATCGTCTCAGGTCTGCAGGGCGATGGATTGTGGTGCTCTACAAGGAAGATCCTCGAGGCCTGGAACAAGAAGACGAACAAGGATTATGGCCTCGGGATGCTCCTCACTGTCGTCAAGAACGACAACCGCAGCAGGTTCCAGCTGCGAATTGACCGCAACCACCCCCTCGCCGAGTACTACGGCCTAGAAGGGTACCCTACCCTTATTCGGGCGAACCAAGGCATCTCCAAAGATGCTATGAAAGGGGTGCCCGACTCGATCCTTGCGGAGGCCTGGTTCAGCATGATCCCAGAAGCAGAGATGGATGAGCATTCTGCCACCTGGGAAGGTCGGCCGGTTTTGCCCCTGGAGAAGATTCCACGCAGGCTCTACCACCGCACCTACAAGGATCGAGCCTTTGCCATCTTGGACTCCTGCTTTATCCCCGGGCACCACACCGCGAATGCCTTTGTGTATTTTGCCGACCGGGAGGTAGGGCCGGGAGAAAATGTCCCTGGCGTGAGGAGCGATCGCCCCGTGGAGATCGTCATCAACACCATGGAGGCCCTCAGGCAGGGCGCTGGACTGTTTTACTCTCGGTCCGAGGGCGTCCTCTGCCGAGAGGCTATCTCCGGGTCCACGGTCCTCTACATTCGCGACACAAGAACCGATGAAATTTTGTGGTCTGCCGCGGATGGACCCGAAGGACAGGGGGAGGAAGAGAATGCCCCTCATGTAGAGGAGGCCGAATCTTCCGGAAGCATGGTCGTTGAAGCCGTGGGACCTCTCCAAGGAGTACAAGAGGAGCCTGATGTCGAGCATGAAGAAGCCCCATTGGTCAAGGAGGAGTTCGATGTTCCCATCCTTGAGGAGGTCGAGGGCATCGTTCCTGAACTTCCACCTCTACACGTTCGCTTCAACACCGACGCCGATGTCATCGAGGTGTCGCCTTCAGGAAGGAACCGTTTGACTGAAGGTCAGTTGCAAGTGGTCCCTGATGAAGGAATGGCTGCCCGCTCTACGGCACCGGCAACCCAAGCGCCGCGTCCTGGATGGAACAGGGGAATCACGCAGATTCAGTGCGTCAATTGTGGCAAGCTTCGTCTCGAAGGTCAGCACAAGTGTTTCCACTGCGGCTACTACGTCACCCGTGGGGCCACCCAGAGTGCCTTCAGGATGTGGATGGCGCGTGAGCGCTCCCATGTCTTGGACGCCCTGGCAGAGCAGTTTGGAAAGGGCCTTTGGGAGATGGATGCCGCGAAGATTCGCCAGGCCGCTGGAACGCATGATTTGAGGGGACAGCAGAGCGTAGATGGCCGAGCTATCATGTTGGCACGCCAAAATCTCAAAGGCATCATGAAGCACGGCTACACGTCGATGGTGGACAAGTTCGACCAGGACGACACCTACGCGATCCACGCTATCAAGGGCGGCTGGACGAGAAGGCGGCTCACTATTCAGGACTGCGTGGCATGCGCTTATCTTCCCAATCAAGGTCGTTCCCGCGAACAACGTGAGTTGGGCTACGGCTCCAACAAGGCCTGGGAGAATAAAAAGGTCAATCATGAGGGCCTGGCTCGCATGGCGTTCTTCGACAAGAATGCCGACGATCTCGTCCTGGCCGGCCTCATCGACGACCCCAACCTCGAACCTATGGGCTACGCTTGGCTCGGCAACTTCATGGGCGTGAAGGAATTCGCCCGGATCATCCGCGTCACCCGTGCGGTTTCCCACATCCTCACCTTCACGGAGGGCATCATTGGCATCCCGGACTTCGATGAGGAAGAGCATCTGGCAGTCTTTTTGGCCGAGATCCTCTCTGAGAATTATGGTGGGGCAAAGGAGACGTGCCGAAAGATGAAGGAATCGGCAGAAGCGTCCCGGGCCGCTCAGGCGCGGGCGGATGCAAGAAAGACATCGCAAAATGCCCCCCGTTATGGGGAGGCCGATCGTGACACGAATCGTGGCTGGTCGTGGAGCGACAACTCTTGGTCGCAGGACGACTGGCATTCCTCAAGTTCCTGGCGTGATCGCCAGTGGCAGGATCAAGGATCCTGGTGGAGCTCGGGGAGTCGCAGTACGGAGCACTCCCGTGGACCTTGGCGCTACGACCATCGAGATCGCAGCTGGTGAGTCCTGAGTTCCGCTTTTCTGATAAAGTAGCTTAGCATCTTGACCACAACGCTCTGTTTTCCTTTCTTTTGAGGTCGATGCTGAGTGAACCACTGTATTGCACGAGCCACCTTTGTATCCCCGCCAGCGTTTCAAATTTCTTAAGCTGGTGCGCGGTGATCTGTGGCGTTGAACCTGAATTAAAACTCGGGTGAGCGCACTTTGAACATACAGTAGAAGAGCAAAATGCAGCACGTAGTGCTTGCCGTGGATTCGTTGACTGCGTTTCAGCATTCTCACGCTTCAACGAGGGGGGTGTATTTTATATCTGTGCATTCTCTCCACTTTTGCTTCCATGTATGTTGCACTTACTTGTGCCGCTCAAGCCCTCTGAGTAAAAGGTTAGGCGCGCCCCTGCTCATGGCTTAACGGATAACGACTGGTGGATTTCCCAAACTATAGGGTTTAGGGTTTCGGGTTTAGGGTTGTTTAGGGTTGTTTAGGGTTTTTTAGGGTTGTTTAGGGTTGTTTAGGGTTGTTTAGGGTTGTTTAGGGTTGTTTAGGATTTAGGGATATTTAGGGTTTAGAATTGTTTAGGGTTTTGGGCTTAGGGTTGTTTAGGGTTTAGGGTTTAGGGTCGAGGTTGTTCAACAGTTGTTTTTGGGGCTGTGTCCTGAACCCCTCCTCCCACCCAGGCCTGGACCTGGTTTAGGGTTCAGGGTTTAGGGTTCCATGCCTCCCACTCCCCAAACTCAGAACCCCTAAGCCTGTCTAAGCCCCAAACTTCTAAACCCTCAATCCCCCGAAGCCCTCGAAGCCTGCCTCAAAACCCTCTAAACGCCTCATCCCTCTAAACCCCTCTGAACCCTAAACCCTAAAGCCTCAACCCTAAACCCTAAACACCCTAACTACACACCCCGAAGCCTCAGGACATGTGGCGCAGCGAGCAGACCCTGGAGGTTCTCCTAGCAGAGCTCTCCGCCGCGATACCTCTCTACAGCAAGGACGCTTGATTTAGGGATTTAGGAGGTTTAGGGTTTAGGGCTTAGGGTTTAGGGTTTAGGGGATTTAGGAGGTTTAGGGTTTAGGAGATTTAGGGGCTTGGGTTGTGAGGGTTCTTCGGGCGTAGGGCTCAGGAGGTTTGGGCTGAGGAGGTTTGGGCTGAGGGTTTCAGGTTTAGGGTTTAGGATTTAGGGGTTTCGGGGTTTTAGGGTATTTAGTTCGTAGGGCTCACGGGGTTTAGGGAAGTTAAGTTGGTTGGGGGGTTTACGGGTTCAGGGCTATGCTTAGTTCAATATAGGGTTTAGGGCTCCAGGTGTTGTTTTTTGGGTTTAGGGTTTAGGGTTTAGCCTTGGGAAGTTTGTTAAGGGCACTGAATCATCCAGTGTGGGAATTTGGTGGGGGGCCCTGCAGGAGGACGACGTGCCTGCAGAACACTTCCCTTATTCGCAGCCCGGCAACAACTGTATTGGGATTCAGAGTCTAGAATAATCAGGGAGAGGGGGAGGAGGGTGTAAGGGCCCTCGTTGCCTTGCTCAGCTGTCGCCAGAAGCATTTGCGGTAGTTCACCCAACCACAAACCGGAAACCCTGCAAACCCTAAACCCTCAACTCTAAACCCTAAACCCTAAACCCTCAAGCCTTTAAACCCTAAACTCTAAACCCTAAACCCTAAACCCTCAATCCTTCAAACCCTAAACTCCAAACACCAAACAAGGGCACTCATCTACGCCTCGGTGGGCGGCTGTTTGTTCTGACCCTCGGCTGGGATAGTTGTCCTGGTTATAGGGTTTAAGGGTTAAATTTCGGGTTTAGGGCTTGGGGTTTAGGGCTTAGAGTTTAGGGTTTGGGGTTTGGGGTTTAGGGTTAATAGGTTTGAGGGCGTGTCGCCCCACGCAACGGCAGTAAACACAGTGTGGGAATTTCGCCCCGGCACACCCAGCGGGTGTGTGGGGGGGGGGGGGGCATACCACGCAAAGGAACATGTTTCCAATGCGGTCCAACAGTTTTTGTTGGTGCTCTGTTCCCACCACCCCTAAACCCTAAACCCTAAACCCTGAACCCTGAACCCTGAACCCTGAACCCTAAACCCTAAACCCTAAACCCTGAACCGTTGAAATCATGTAGGTGGCTGCTGCGCCATCATCTGCTACAACTGCCGGAGAAAAGGTGGGCCGAAGGCCCGCGCTCCACATGTCTTGGGGTCAGTAGGGTTTAGGGTTTAGGATTTAGGGTTTAGGGTTAGGGTGTTCTTAGAGAGCCCTACAACCCCTAGCCCTAAACCTCCGCACCCCAGACCCCAGAACAAACACGGAAGCCCCTTGACGAGTCAGGGTGGAGATACTTGAAGAATCGGGGGCGGGGGGTGGCAAGCATGTGTGTTCTCGTGTAGAATTAGAAGTAGGAGAACTTCGAATAGGGCCCTTTTGGGTTTTCGTGGCCCTACATTACACTACTTACTAAGTCAGCCGACTCAGTGCCAAATCTTACAACGTGAAAACCGTTTACTAACCCACGCAGTGGAGGAATTCGTGGGATCAGGGTTTGCAGAGCTTTTGGCTTTTGGCATTGAGTTAGGGTATAAGAGTAGGTAAATATATATCTCAGGGATTCAGAACTTGGCGGTCTTAGAATTCGTTCTGTATCGAAGAGTTTTGGTCCTAGGCTTCAGGATTTGGACTGTGTGTGGAAGTAGACCGCAACTCCTTGAGACCACGAGGCAAGGTTTGCACGCTCTTAGGTCCATTTCAGGGTTTAGGACTTAGTTCGAGGGTTCCTTCGCCGCCCTTAAATGAGCTTCTCTTCGGTTCCCGTTGATGCGCTGCGAATTGAGGGCTCAGCATTGACCCCCAAAACCCTGAACCCCAAACCCTAAACCCTAAACCCTGACCTAAGACTTTACCGTAAACCCTAATAAAACCCGAAACCCTAAACCCTAAACCCTATAACCTCAGACTTTGCCTTGGCAACTGCAAGGTCGTATCCTTGGTAGCCCAGCTGTACCATTTTCCCTCTTTTTGGTTCAAGGTTCCCTGATAAAGTAACCAACTCTAAAAGGGGTGCCCTCATTACACTATGGTTGCTGGGCTACCATGCAAGCATCATACAGGCTAAGGGATCCTGTTGGGCAAGAGCTGCGGTTTATGGTTTGTGTGCTTTAGCCTTCTAAGCCCTTGTAGTACATTCCCACTACTTTAGCCCTCAGCTTCCTAGCTCCACCTTGGCAATTCCAGGGCGTTTCGGGGGTTTAGGGTTTAGGGTTTAGGGTTTAGGGTTTAGGGTATCACTTTTCGATCCTGCGAGGTCTATCACACCATGAATTGTGTGTGGTACAAGCCGGACCACATATGGGTGTTCCCCAGAATAGGGTACCCCTTTTATCTCCCCTACCAGAATAGAATCCCCTGGCAGGGACCCCCCAACAAGGGTACCCCCATTTTCGGAAACCCCCACATGGTGCGTTTCTGCCACATTGACGGGGCAGAGGTTTGCTACTGTTGATTCAAGCGAAAGTCAGCTGTATTCACCCAGCTTCCTGGGCCTTGATCACGAATGCTTCGAAGGTTAGGCTTTAGGGTTTGGGGTTTAGGGTTAGGATTTAGTTTCAAGGAAGTTCCTAAACCCCTAAACCGTGAACTCGAAGCCCAAGACCCACACCCTAGATCCGATCTCAACTTCCCGGAATGCAGGATGCTGCCAAGCAAATGAAGATGCATCAGCCGGATGTGTGCCTGGGCTCTAGTTTTTTGGAGCGTAGGGATTGAGAGTTCAGCGTTTTATGGTTTTTGTGGTTTAGTTTTCTTGGGTTTTGGGGTTTGGGGTTTTTGTTTAGGTGCTTGTAGGGTAGTCAGTCAGTAGATGATTATATTGGGTAGAGTCACAAGTACGCAGGAGAACCCCTTAATTGGGGCCCCGCCTGAAGTATTTAAATATTTGCAACCCTGCAAATCCCCTCCCCTTAGACTTCGACCACCCGAGATCCTCGACCTTCAGCCCGAAACCCTAAACCCAAGAAGATACCCAGAAGCTAAATACTTTGCATGATTCCCATGCCAGTGGCAAGGACATCTTTTAGAACACCTGCGAGAAAAGCTATTTGGTTTCTGCGTTGAAGGCCCCGGAACTCCCAATTCAGTTAAACCACAACACAAACCTCAGTCCTGGGGCGTAGGGTTTGGGTTTCAAGGTTTAGGGTTTGGTTAGGGTTCAGGATTTAGGGTTTACAGTTTAGTTAGGTTTCCGGGCTTAGGGCCTTCGGTTTGGGGTTCAGGGTTTAGGGTCTTCGGGTTTGGGGTTCAGGGTTCAGGGTTCAGGCTTCAGGGTTCAGGGTTTAGGCTTTAGGGTTCAGGGTTCAGGGTTCGGGGTTTATGCTCTTTGTTAAACCCTCAACCCTGAGCCCTCAGCCTTCGATGCAGGCAAGACACAGGGCTCGGCCCATGAATCCGAGCCGCGTCGGCAAGAAGCCTTTCGGGTTTAGGGGTTTAGGGTTTAGGGTTAGGGTTTAGGGTTAGGGTTTAGGGTTAGGGTTTAGGGTCTGGGGTTTGGGGATTGGGGTTTAGGGTTTGGGGTTTGGGGTTTAGGGTTTAGGGTGTAGAGTTAGGACTTAGGGTTGAGGGTTTGGGGACTAGGGATCTTGCTTTTTTTTGTCAAGGGCAGAAGTGCTTGAGGACAGGGTCTTCAGAATCTTAAGCCCAACACCTTAAGCCCTCAGAGCTTACGGATCTTTACCCTAAACCCTAAACCCTAAACCCTAAACCCTAAACCCTGAACCCTGAACCCTAAACCCTAAACCCTAAACCCTAAACCCTAAACCCTAAAACCTAAACCCTAAACCCTAAACCCTAAACCCTAAACCCTGAACCCTGAACCCTGAACCCTGAACCCGAACCCTAAACCCTAACCCTAAACCTAAACCTAAACCTTACGAAATTATCAGGTTTGGCTTTCCAGAACCTGGTGATTTCAGAGTGGGAGGGGATCAGGAGTCGACTCAGACACCTTCCGATAATTTTTTTGGTTTGGGGCTAACAAATAGGGGGGGGGGGGGGGTGGGGGGTAAACCCTAAACCCTAAACCCTAAACCCTAAACCCTAAACCCTAAACCCTAAACCCTAAACCCTAAACCCTAAACCCTAAACCCTAAATGCCCCATTGCGTTTTACCTTGAGTTCCACCGGAAGGTTGGAGAACCTGAAGCCGGATGGCCTGTAGGGCTCTGTTGGGGGTTTAGGGTTTAGGGTTTAGGGTTAAGGGTTTAGGGTTTAGGGTTTAGGGCTTAGGGCTCCTCTGCAGCCCTGAAATGGTCCCTTCTTCAGCCCTTTGTTCCCTTCATAGAAGTTCGCAACTTCAAGGAAGGCCCGGTCGGAAAAATCCAAGCAGGGAGGTCCAAGCAAGATGCAGCCCGGTAGAAACAAATTAAGACGGTTTAGGGTTTAGGGTTTAGGGTTTAGGGTTTAGGGTTTAGGGTTTAGGGTTTAGGGTTTAGGGTTTAGGGTTTAGGGTTAACCCTAGACCCTGAACCCTAAACTCTAAGCCCGCATGCTTACTATATGCCTGGGGTTGCCTGTTTGGGGCGTTTATTCTAACACTTCCTGTAGAGGTTAGAATCCTATAGCCCTCGCCAAGAAGCTTTAAAGGCCTAACACCCGTGTTTACATTTCTCAAGCCTTACACCCCGATACCCCCAACCAAACCCTACATACAGAAACCCAGAACGCGAAGTTGCAACTGCGTAAGCTACATATTCCACCCTAAACCCTAAACCCTAAACCCGAAACCCTAAACCCTAAACCCTAAACCCGAAACCCGAAACCCGAACACAAGCCCCTGCAACCCCAGGTGATTGGGGGCTCCTGCCCCTCTGTGCGTGACTTGACTTCTGGAGGAATTGCAGCTATTGGTTTATGGGTAGTGAGGGTTTGGGGTTTGGGGTTTAGGGTTTAGGGTTTAGGGTTAAGGGTTTAGGGTTCAGGGTTCAGGGTTCAGGGTTTAGGGTTTAGGGTTTAAGCGGGGTTCTGAGTCTGGTAACTATAGGTACAACCGTATTTGAGGCCCTAAGCCCGAAACCCTAAAACCTGAACCTCCAAGGTAGCAGAAACACACGAGCTTGCAAACAGCCGAGGAACGCCCAACAGATGAGAAGGTCGCAAAACCAGGATGGGCTATTGGGCCTTCTAATCCAACAATCAACCCTATAAACGGCATTTTAGGGGTTGTAGGGTCTAATTGCCCATCCTGCATGGAAGGTCGAACAAACCAAGCTAAGTCGAAGAAAGTAAGAGAAACAGGGGCCCGCGCAAACAACCGGAGGAGTTTCACGATGGTGCGGTTGTTCACTGTTGTTTGTTGGCTGTTAACGTCGAGTTTAACTTTCGAGTTTGCTTGTCGTGCTTGGTGCGGTTGTTCACCATTTTTGTTTGCATCATTTTCAGCACTGGAGTTTGTCGTAGGTTTCGGAACCATGGCCTGTTTTGTTTTGTACGTTTTCGTGGTTTCACAACACCACTTGTCAAAGGAAAAAACGCAACTCTAGCTAACCTGACAGAAACCCTAAACAACACAAAACCCTAACCCTGTTCAGGGTGTTCGTGTCTAGGGCTTCGGGTGGTTCGGTGGAAGGCCCCCTGCCTGGGGGGCTGAGCAGTCAACCCCTCTTTACAAAGCCCTAAACCCTAAACCCTAAACCCCTAAGGGGTTGAAGTTTTAGAGACCGAAAGCTTAGCTTTTTTGCCCTCGAACCTTTTTGTCCCTAATGGGGATTATAATCGTGGGTACTATAATCACCATTAAGGACTGCTGTTATCCAGGGGGGAAACATCCTAAGTTTAGGGTTGCGGGTGTGGGGTTTGAGGGTTTACCCTAAACCCTAAACCCTAAACCCTAAACCCTAAACCCTAAACCCTAAACCCTAAACCCCAAACCCCAAACCCCAAACCCTAAACCGGGGATTTAGAGTTCACACTGCAGGTCGAACGCCAGCTTTTTCTTCTACTGGCTGTCCACGCAGACGCACCCAAGATGGCTGAGCAGCCCTCCCCGATGTGGGAAACTCCTTTGTGCGGTTTCGGGTTCATCCTAGGTAGGATAAGAGAGACCCTTAAAAAGGGGACCCTTCTGAACCCTCTTCTGGCTCTCTTAAACAGGGACCTTATTCAGAGGGTCTATATCCCCAAGGGTCCCCCTGATCCTATCCCCTAGAAAAGTGCAACCCTAAACCCTAAACCCTAAACCCTAAACCCTAAACCCTAAACCCTAAACCCTAAACCCTAAACCCTAAACCCTAAACCCTAAACCCTAAACCCTAAACCCTAAACCCTAAACCCTAAACCCTAAACCCTAAACCCTAAACCTATCCCCTAATCCTATATCCCCAAGGGTCCCCCTAATCCTATCCCCTAGTTCAGGGTTCACGAGCAAGGTCGCCTCGGTGATGGCCTCGGCAAAGGTGAATACAACCCTGCTTAGATTGACTCGCCAAGGAAGCCCTCAAGTCCTCAATCCCTCAAACCCTCAAACCCCGAAGCCCCTAAACTCTAAACCCCGAAACCCTCAACCCTAAACCCTAGCCCTAAACCCTAAACCCGAGACCCTGGGTGGTGTGGCTTTTTGGCTTTTGAACCAGCCGAGTTTCAAGCTCCATGAAGGATGCTGTGATCCCCGAGTTGAACCCCTAAACCCGCAAGACCCTATACCTCTTTAAGGTTGGAACCGTTTAGGGTTTAGGGTTTAGGGTTTAGGTTTAGGGTTTAGGGGTTTAGGGTTTAGGGTTTAGGGTTTATATCGTTGTTATATGTATAGTGCATATAAGGGTTACACAGAACAAGGGACCCAAATTAAGGGCCCATTCTTGTTACCCTAGAACCTCTGAAGCCCCAAGGCCTTCTACACCCTAAACCCATTTTTCCTGTGTGGGTCTCGGAAGGGAATTGGGGTTTAGGGTTTCGGGTTTAGGGTTCAGGGTTCAGGGTTTAGGGTTTAGGGTTTAGGGTTTAGGGTTTAGGGTTTAAGGATCCCTTCCATGCTCTCCTTCTTCTTTCAGGCTTTAGGGCTTCAGGACTGTTGGGGCTTAGGTTTTGGGGTTTCAGCCTCAGGTCTTGGGGTTTAGGGTTTAGGGTTTTGGGTTTAGGGCAGGGTCGCCAGGTTTCAATGCTTCCAGTTTAGGGGCTAGGGTTTAGGGTTTAGGATGTAGGGTTTGTGAGATGGGGGCGACCCTCCACTAGGCCTTCGACTCTAAACCTTAGTTGGAGGTTCATCGTACTTATGAACCAATTGTAACTGCACTTATAACTATACTTTTAACCGTATTTGGCAACTTAAGGGGCTTATAAGTGGGTTATAAGTACAGTTATAGTTGGTTAATAAGTACCCTGAACCTCCAAGTAAGTCCTTGAATCCTAAGCCCCAACGAGTCTCACATTGCCCATTGTCCCGCAGCGTCCAGCCTGTTTCAAGTAATTTGAAGTTTGTGTAAATTCACGTGGACGCCCACAGGGCTTCTGAGGCTGGCGCCCTCGCCTCAACCCGAAGCCCTAGGGTTTAGGGTTTAGGGTTTATGGTTACCCTAAACCCTGAACCCTAAACCCTAAGCCCTGAACCCTAAACCCTAAAACCTAAAACCCAGATCTTATAAACACTAAGCCATGGGGCTTCTTGGTAGCCCCCCTGGTACACTTTGCCCCTTGTTTAGGTTCTAGGTAGGATCAGGGGGACCCTTAAAAGGGACCCCTTCTGAACCCTCTTGTGGCTCTCTGAAGCAGGGACCTTATTCAGAGGGGTGTATATCCCAAGGGTCCCCCTCATCCTATCCCCTAGAAAAGTTAAACCCTAAACCCTAAACCCCAAACCGTAAACCCTAAAGCCTAAACCCTAAACCCTAAACCCTCGTTATAGTATAGCTGCTGCGCTACGAAGGTTTTTAGGACTGGCCAGGCCCTCGTCTCGGATTTCCTGGTGGAGAACCATGTGGCTGCAAAACCGGGGTTAGCGTTGGAGTGCGTTTAGGGTTTAGGGTTTGGGGTTTGGGGTTTGGGGTTTAGGGTATTTAGGGTTTATACATTGGGTTTAGGGTTTAGGGTTTAGGGTTTAGGGTTTAGGGTTTAGGGTTTAGGGTTTAGGGTTTAGGGTTTAGGGTTTAGGGTTTAGGGTTTAGGGGTTAGAGCCCAAAGGCCCGCGGCCGTACCGCAAAGCTCCAAGACACCCTTATGGTCACCAGAAGCAAGGAACATCAACCTAACCCGCTGTTCCGCGTTTTGAATAGCCGGATGTGATTTTCATGCGGCCTGGTGTGTATGAGAGCTGCCGCACCTCCACCCGGCGTTTCAAGTACGCCGGTGTGGGCAATAGCAAGCCTGCCAAGCAGCACTTGCTCTCAGGCAGCGGCACGCTTTTTTTTCAAGTGCAGGCAAGTTGCCGTCGGCCCACCAGCAGGCCACGGCCACTGT